AATTCGATGGCATTATTGTGAGGTGGTGGAAATCTAGGGGGTGGGTCCTGGCTAGAAGAAGCAGATCACCCAATGGGAGTGTGGCTTTGAAAGCTATCTTGTCTTTGGCTTTCCTACCTGCTCCTCTCTGCTTCCTAGTACAGAGGTGAGCAACTTTGCACCTCAATGACGCTCTGCCTTACCATAGTCCAGAAACAGTGAAGCCAGTCCACTGTGGACTGAAACCTCAAAAACTGTGAGCCCCTTGAAGGTGTTTCTCTCTGGCATTTCTTATAGCCACACACACACAAAAAAAGTTAACCTGTCTAGACACTCTTGTAATAACAGGTGTAATCCATTTATAATGCTGGCATTCTTGTGGTCCAACCACCCATCCTACCTCTTCGTTCTGTTACCATAGTGATTATATTTCGGAGCGGTGCATTTTTTTAGTCTCTGGGTTCAGCCCATCTGAAGATTAGGAAGATTCTGAGAAATTTTCCTTTACAGACCAGCAACAATTTACTTATATATTTATATCTCTCCCTCCCCTCCCCAGCACTTACACTTCATATTTCTTCCCTGCCTAGTAGATCTTCCTAACTAATCTTTCCCCCTTCCTACAAGTTATAAGAAAAAGTTGATAGTTTTATTCTCCTGAAATATGAATCTAGTCTTTTTCTTTCCCATTACCTTCATCCACACCCCCAAGGAACTCAAGTTCTTTATGCAAAGATGTATTTCCCTGCCTCTCTCTGCTCAAAGTAGAACAGTCTCCTTTCTGCCCTCTAACTTCATGGAAATGCCTTTTCTGCTTTTAAGTTGTGTTTTGTAACCAGGGTATCTTTTCTGAAACTCACATTAATCTCTATCTTTTTTGGTTCACTCCCTAAGAACATACACCACTCACATTCACTGTACTTTACCATCATGATCACAAACAGTGAAGTAGTTAAAATTTCATTTTATCAGAATGCTATGGCAGTTGGTTAACAATCTTTCTATACACTAATAATTTCAAGCATGTGTTTTACCAACCAGGCAGAAAGCTCTTGGTGAGTAAAATGCTATCAGAGTGCCCCACATCCCTGACTTACTAATAGAAGAAGTACAATTCAAGACAGGTGACAAATGATCATGTTTATCTCTTGTCATTCTCACTTACACTAGGTGTCAAGCAACAAAATACTTAGTAAAACTAATTTAATAGGATAATTCAAATCAGAGAGAGCTCTGTTGGATATCTGTTTTACAAGGAATGAATTTTATCATGAAGAGATCATTAACACATAGATAGTTAATGGATACAAGCTTATTAGATTATTCAGCTCTGTGAAGTACAACTCTAGATATAGTATTACACAGTTTACTTCTAGACATAAGAATACATTCTAATACTTGTAGACCCATTGCAACAATGAAATGTACAAGACGTTATGTCAAAAAATGAACTTTACAATTTTTGCTGGGGGGGGGGAGGTGGAGGGTGGGAAGGGGGAGAGGGAGAAGATGGGAAGGGTTGGGAAGGGGAAACAAAGGAGGAGGCTGCAATGCTTGATAAGAAATGTACTCATTACCTTGTCCATGTAATTGTAACCTCTCTGTACAGTATTTTCACAATATAAATAAATAAATAAATAAAATTTAAAAAAATACATTCTAATAATAAATCCATGTGAAAGCTCTTTCTAAACTCCAGACTCCCTATCCAATTGCCTACGCAGCCTCTCAGCCTCTCCATGTGGATGACAAATTTAGTTCTTTGAGTCTATCCTCAACAACAACAAAATCAACAATTTATATGTCTAATGTCAATTGCTGATAACTTCTGTTTGTTCAAGTCAGGAGACTTAAAGTTATCCCAAATCTCTAACCCTATATCCAATCTTAAGAAACCCTGTTGATTCAACCAAAAAGATTAAAATATATCCAAACAAATCCTACATATTCATGGTTTCTACCTTATATCAAGACACCTAGGTTACCACCATGGCATTAACTCCATATCCCTGTTTCCATTCTACTCTAATCATATCACACAGAGTGAACTAAAGTCCTTTCAAGGGCCTACCAGATAGTGCTACATGTCCAGTAACCATCCCACTATCCTTTTTTTTGTAGGTTGTGGGCCTTGAACTCTGGGCCTGGATGTTGTCCCTGAGCTCTTCATCTCTAGGCTAGTGCTCTACCACTTGAGCCATAGCGCCACTCTGGTTTTCTGATGGCTAATTGGAGATATACATCTCACAGACTTTCCTGCTCAGGCTGGCTTTGAACCGTGATCCTCAGATCTCAGCCTCCTGAGTAGCTAGGATTACAGGCATGAGCCACCAGCACCTTGCCCCACCATCTTTCTTTCAACAAAGTTACCCTTGCTCCTACAACATGCTAGATATGGCCCAACATCAGACCCCTAATGCTCTTGTCCAGGCTATCTTCATCGCTAACTCTTACTTCTCTTTAAGGCCTTATTCCAAGGCTCCCCTTCACTGAAGCTTTTATAAGTGAATTTTTTACTCTTCTCTTTTATTCTTTCTTTCACAGCATTATCACCGTGCTGTCATGAAGAAGCCTCTTGGGCATCCAACAACAGAACCAAAACTGACTGGAGTGCCCTGCGCTCCAATGCATCCAGGCCATACTCCCCAGGAGCTACTCTCAGTCAGCGATCCGTCATGGTGTGAATGCTAACGGAAGTTCATCATGGTAGCTGCCTTTTGTTCCAGGACTCTCCAATGGCCTCAGAGTACACTGCAGACCAGGTTGTTACCATAAAACTCTCCCTCACTCTTCTTAACACTTTTAACAGTCCAGCCTTTTTGGCCTAACTCTCATTGTCTTATATTTATTTCCTTAAATACAGTATTGTATGCTTAACCTGTTGTGGCATTTGTTTCTCAAAGACCCAGAATAACAGTCACCTTCCTATATTCTACTTACTTATATACTTCCTATTTTCTACTATAGTCCACTTACTTAGTGTGTTTACCTTCCTTAGCCTACCAGGATATAAATTCCAGGAGAGCAGGAATGCTTTTGTATATGTATTTCAAACACTTAAAACAGGGCCTTAGAGGTACTCAATAAATACATTCAGGATAAATGATTAACAAACACATCATTAGTACTTCCAACTATAAAAAATGAATAAACAGCTGATAATAACCATTCAGGATGGTTTTCCCATAGCAAGAATGAAATTTGAGATTAGATTCATTTTAGGAAAAGGTCCAGATTAATAATTGGATGACTGCCCACTGGTTTGGGGTAGCAGCTAGGCTATTCTGATGGAAAAATTCATCATGACTACCCTCTTGTCTTTCACTCCAGCTGCAATCTTCAGAAAAAAAATCAAAAGCTTTGGAGTTTGAGGTTCATCCAATAGTAATCAAACCTGGACCGGGCATAAACCAGTCTCCTGTTCTCTGTCTCTTTTTGAGGATAGAAAAAAACAAAGATGAAATAATGTTGAATATAATGTGAGATTCTTGAAAATGGCAACTCTCATCCTAGGGTGACTAACTCAGGAATAGGATTGGAGAGCTCCAAATGGTAATATGGGGAAAGTTTATTGCATAAGGATCCCAAAGATTTCCTACAGAAGAATCACACCGGGATCTGCCCAAGGAGTTTACACCCAGCTATATGATCCACTTCTCATAAAGATTGATTTTACCTTCAGCCTATGTCTTGTCTTGCCCTGTGTCCTTGGACAGGCTTCCATGAATGACTTTCACAAACTCAGACAGCTGAGCTTCCATTCCTGGCTTTGTTACCTATTAGGCATGTGGCAAATTACCTCCCCAAGTCCATTGCCTCATTTTAAAAATAGGAAGAATAATACTTATCACTCAGCACCTCCAAAGATAAACAGGTTGAAATGCATATGCCTGTAGAAAGTGCTTAATAAATACTAGCTGTCGCTATCCATATCAAACACACAAAGGAAATGAAACCATGTGTTCAGTATTTGATTTGTCCTTTTAACCTCCTGCAGACAGGAAGGTCTGATAACGTCCAACGTCCAAACACGTAATAATGAAGTAGATGGTAATGAGGGCTTACTACATCAAATTTTAATTAGAGAACTGGTCGGGGAGAGAAAACAAAGACAATTAAGGCTTCCTGGTCTCTGCCCCAACCTCAGAGTTTCACTACCTTTGCCAAAGGGCCCGGGGAGGATGCGTAGCATGGGCTGCCTGTGGTCCCAGATACCCCATTGCACTTTGAGAGGCCACTCCTATCTCTTGCATAACTGCTGAGGTCAAAATAAACACCCTTTAGCAGGGCACTGGTGGCTTATGCCTGTAATCCAAACTACTCAGGAGACTGAGATCTGAGGATTTGTTGTTCTGAGCCAGCCAGAGTAGACAAATCTGTGAGAACCTTATCTCCGATTAAACACCAAAAAGCTAGAAGGAGAGTTGTGGCTTAAGTGGTAGAGCACCAGCCTTGAGTGAAAAAAGCTAAGAAACAGTACTGAGATCCTGAGTTCAAGCTTCAGGACAGGCACCAAAAAAAAAAAAGAGCATCATTTCCCAAAGTCAAGAGTATCATTTCTGAACACGGTCCAAGGACCATGTTCTAGAAATCCAAGTTGAGAGTTAGGCATCGGGTAGCACTTATCACTTAAACCACAGCAAGCAACCCCTGATGGACCCATTTTTTTTTTCATACTGTCACTTGAACGCCTTTGATTTTGCCTCCAGCTAAGATTCCAAGGTTTGTCAGAGGTCATGGCACCTTGGGAGAGAAGCTGGGAAGGCAAAGTGACCACCCTATGAAGTTCTAAAGTCATTCCAGAAGTTTCCAAGATCACCTAAAGGCTAACAGAGGCAGAAAAGCTTTTCTGCCCTGGTGAAAGATGAGGTGCTCTTTGTCAGTCCCCAAGCTAGAGTGGAGCAAAGGAACTTTCTACAAACACACATCAGAGGCTGATTGAAATCCCTTAGCCAACTTGCTTTCCCGTGTGCCTCTCCTGGAAAATAATGACTCGGGGAAGGAACAGTTAATAAGAAAATTTGCCTGGCTAACTGTGCAACATTACAACAAAGAGTTGGCAGCTCCTGAAGGAAAAGGGTTTGTGCTGCCGCCGTTGTAACTTGTCAGTCAACTCCGGACCAGCCAGCCTCAGCGTCTGCCTCCCGGTACACCCTCATTACATGTGTCTGCTGGCCTGATGTGTGCATCTGCTCAGAGACGCTCCTGACAAGTCGGGAATTTCTCTCTGCTGCAAAGATCAGACTTCTCCCTGTTTCTCTTCTGACACCCCAGCTTCTCCTCCCCCTCCCCAAAGGAGGCTGCTTGATTTATGATAGCTTCAGACTTCCTTCGGTGTCCTCCTGTCCTTGACTTCCCAGAATGGAAGAAGCTGAGCTGGTGAAAGAAAGACTTCAGGCCATCACGGTGAGTCTGCCTAGAGTTCTGACACTAAGGTGGTTGCTTAAAAGAGCCACACCCAAGGCTAGCTTTTCCACGGCTGAGCCCCTGTAAGAGGAGAGCAAAGCTGTCAGCCTTAGGGACATGTCTGATTTCCTTAACCCTTGTGCTTTTCGGTTTGGGGAGTCCTGAGTGCAGGGGAAAGGTTCTGATTTCTGCAAAGTGCCTCTATGTTAAAACAGCAATCGAGAGCTTTTAAGGCAGTTTAGTTAAACTAACATGTACTTTCTGTGAAGCTTGAAAACACAGGATTTTTTTCTAACCCCCTTACATTGCTAGTTGACAGTCATTAGATTAAAAACAAGAAAAACATAGCTTGGCAACTTCTTAAAATAATGCAGATTTTCTTGTTGTTGTTGTTAAAGTTCCAAAAGATTTTTTAAAGAAAGAAAGCCAAAGGAATAAAATGCACAACCTGCCACTTTTTATTGCGAGTGTTACAGGAAGGTAATTTAACCAGAAAGGTTAAATTGAATTAAAACATTGGTATACTTCAGCTAAGAGCTAAACAGGAGAAAAGTAGGCAAAAGCACGTATCAGATTAATTCTCTGAGATCAGTTTCCAGCCCAGGCATACATGGAATGAGATCCTGATAAAGAAATGTTATATGCAATGGATTTGGAAACTATTTCATTAATGCTGGGAAGGAAAATGGTGCAATTTTGTTTGCTTGTTTGTTTGTTTGTTCTGGGAAAGAGTCAGAGCAAGAAATGAATTACTTTTCTTAAATGATCCAGCTTTATGGTTTCTTTTTTGAATTTTATAAAACGTTCTATGACAGTAACCTGGGAATCTGTAACATAATCATTTATCATTAGCTTCAACTTTCGATATGTTTTTCAAATGTTTTTATTACCTTTAAGTAGTTGTATAAAAGGCATGGCCACCTTATACAGCCTTTTAAGGAAAGAAAACTTTGGAAACAAAACATACACATAACACACACACCAAATTTCTTATGTTTTCTGCCACTGAAATGAGCAGTCAGGAAGAAATGTGCTTTTTTAAAAAGAAAAGCAATATGATATTATATTAGAGTAGGTAGGAGGTAATATTTCTTGTTCCTTCACTTCTCATAACTAATAATGTGAACCCTAATGTAAGACTTTTTGTTAGATGCACACAAATGTCTTGTCTCCACTCCTTAATTAGTGAATATGCTCTTCCTGAGTGATAACAAACCAGGCAGGCCTCAATCACTAGTGGAGTTGGCATTTTTCCATAAGATAATACTTTTTCAAAGTCTAAATTCCAATTATTATATTTTCCTCTCATCAGAAGAGTTCGGTCTGGGTGGTTGTTTGTTTTGTTGTTAACCCGAGACACTGTTTCAGCTGTCCAGCTTGAAGGGTCAGGAACGCCTGTTCTGCTCTGTTGTTTTTGGCGGGGGCCTTTAACATCACAGCTGTTGACTAAAGGTTACTTTACCAGACTGTGTGTCATGTGTGTCGAATGGTCAAGCGCCACTGTTTCTAAGGCTTTCATCCTCCAACTCAGTCTCAATGAAATAGGCAGATAGACCTTTCTTTTGTATTTGACTTACTGGATTGGGCCAGAGCCTAGTTTAAACCTAATTATCTCTAAAATACTGTCAATGTCTTCCTGTAGTCCCTCATGGTCCAAAGACCTGGCTTCATACCAGTATTCAAGAAGAGGAGGCCATGGGCTGGGAAGGTGGCTCAGTGGTAGAGTGCTTGCCTCACATACATGAGGCCCTGGGTTCAATTCCTCAGCACCACATAAACAGAAAAGGCCGGAAGTGGGTGCTGTGGCTCAAAGGGTAGAGCACTAGCTTTGAGAATAGCTAAGGGACAGCACCCAGGCCCAGAGTTCAAGCCCCACAACCAACCAAAAAAAAAAGAAGGAGGAGGAGGAGGAGGCCTTTTCAAATGCAAGTTGAAAATACAAATAGTTGAAATAGAAATAGAAATCATAGAAACAGAATTCTATAGACTTAACCCTATAGACATAGGGTTATCACATCTTAGAAATCAAGTGGGTAGGTAGATTCTGGAATATTCTGCCATAGGTTTTTTGGCTTATGGTCTATAGTAAAGTTTATTTGGATTATTCCCCTGGCCCAAACATGTCCTATTAGGAAGAATTCAAGCAAGATCACCAAGTAATTATAGTTTGAAGTCATAGAAAAGGGTGGCAGGGGGAAATGGAAAGAAGGCTTATAGAAACAAGTTTGCATTGGCCTATACCTTGCCAGGCTACACTCAGTTCCCATTTGTCACCACCAAGAAGGGAAATGGAGCAGGTGTGCTCATGGAAACAATACATCACTCTCCGTACCCTGCCACAGCCTGCGAGATGCCAGCCTTCTCCAGCAGGGGCCCTGCCCAGAACCCCAGTGCAGCTTCCCTCTTCCTCCCTGGGGAAAAAGACAGTTTCCAGGGAGCTTGCAAGGATTACTTGTAAAACTTATGAAAATCTTCAGACTCTTTTACTGAGACTAAAACTCAGAGACCAGCTTCTCATTCACCGTCTTCCCTGACGTGACTTTTCTATACTTCCAAGAACAAAACCAAAGGTCATTTCCCAATGTACTAAGACATCACTTTGAAGAGGGAGAGGGGAAATAAAGCTGTCACACTATAGGATCTATTTGATTTTTTAATTAAAATGTATTCTTCTAACTCTTGGCTAGGAAATGAAATTAGCTTGAGGGCATTTATTCTACCTCATTTCATATACCTAAAAATTCATTATTCCTACTGCAAAAAAAACAAAAGAAATAGGGCTGGGATGTAGCTCAGTGGCAAAGCGCTTGCCTAGCAAGTGCAACGTCCTGGGTTCGATCCCCAGTACCAAAAAAGAAAAGACAAAAAAAATAAAAATAAATTAAAAAAACGAAAGAAATAAACATATATGCCTGTAATTTGACAGAACCAAGAGACAGTTTTCCTGAAAAAAAAATTAAAATACATGAAGTAGATAAAATACAGCACCTAGTCTCTAGATTGCAACCGAAATTATTGTGATGGTGCCATTCATTTTTTTAGAGCAGCAAATTGAATTGGGGATTACTCAGAAGTCTTTTCCAACATTTAAGGACAATGAAGGCAAAAATTACAAAGTATGAAAGATTAATTATTTTAGAAAGACCAACTTCAGTTTGGGTGTTACCTGCTCTCGTGTTCCTCCTTCAATGTTCACTGAGTCATCTTTTTCTAGGTCCATGGCCAAACTATCCGTTAGCCAGAGTTCACTTTTCAACTATAATTTTTCAACTATAATTAGAAAACAAGGCTACTTCAAACTTATTAAATATGTTTCATACCTAAAAAGTCTTGAGGCTATTTTCAAGTTAGTACATACTTTCAACAAGCAGCTGGACTTTATACAAAGGGAGAGCTACTAAAATAGACTGGTAATTTGAGTTTCACTGTGAATTTTACACAACACTTGTGTGTGTGTGTCTGTGTATGCGTGTGTTGTGGATGTGTGTGTATGGATGTGTGTGCAGTGTGTTATTGGGGTTTGAACTCAGAGCCTTGAGCTTGCTAAGCAAGCACTCTACCATTTGACCCATGCATCTAGTTCTTTTTTGCCTTAGTCATTTTTCAGTTCAGATTGTGTTTTTTATCCAAGCTGGACTTAGACTACAATCCTTCTATATATGCCTTTCAAGTAGCTGGGACAGCCAACACTGGCCACCATATCTGGTGTATTGTTTGAAATGAAGTCTTATTAATTTTGTGTGCATCCTGGCCAATTTCCACCTCTCAAGTAGCTGGGGTTACAGGAACAAGCCACTATACTAATCTGCTAATGTTACTGGAACTGGTGGTACCAATACCTCTAATACTTTGGAGAATAGTGAGATCGAGGTTGGTTTGAAAGTCAGTGAAAAGGCCAGGTCAATTCTGGGAAACAGAACACCCTTTGAAATGAGTATCCCCACACACCCACTCTTGACATTTTCCTCCCTAAGGGATAAATTTTCTAATCCCCCTTTTTTGTGTGTATGCCGATAAAAGGACTTGAACCCAGGGCCTGGGTGCTGCTGTCCCTGAGCTTCTTTTGCTGAAGGCTGGCATTCCACCATCTGAGCCACAGCACTACTTCAAGATATTTTTAAGTAGTTTATTTGAGATAAGAATCTCGCAGAGTTTCCTTCCCTTAGCTCGATTTGAGCCATGATCCTCAGATCTCAGCCTCCTGAGTAACTAGTATTACAGGCATGAGCCTCTGCCACCCAGCTTCTAATCATCATTTGTATGGGAACATTGGAAAATACCATCCCTGATATGAAGATGCTCAAGGAGAAAAACTCCTGGATCTCAGACAGCCTAGAGATCATGCACTTGCCAAAAATGTACTATGTGAGAAGTGAGCTAAGTTGAATTCTGAGAACTTGGATCCATTGACAGAGAACAGACCCAGCTGAAGAGATGAGAGGCAACAGGAAGGCTGGCATTTTTTTTATTTAAATTTTATTGTAAAAGTGAGTTAATAAGTACACAGTGGGGGGGGGGGGGGAATGTTGGTCATGGGGCTTGAACTCTGGACCTGGGCACTGTCCCTGAGCTCTTCAGCTCAAGGCAAGCCCTCTACCACTTGAGTCACAGTGCCACTTCCAGTTTTCTGGTGGCTTATTGGAGGTAAGAGTCTCATGGAATTTCCTGCTTGGGTTGGCTTTGAACTACGATCTTCTTACTCAGATCTCAGCCTCCTGAGTAGGTAGGATTACAGATGTGAGCCACCAGCACCCAGATTTAAATACATTTCTTTTTGAACAGTATTACCCTCTCCCTCATTTTTCTCCCACTCCCCACTCAATCCCCTCCCCCTCAGGTTGTAAAGTTCATTTCCAACATAGTGACTTGTGAATATCACCGTTGTGTTAGGTTCACTCTTTCTCAGTCAGGCTTACCTTTAAGGGCAAGAAATGTGGCTGTCAACTTAATCTCCCTTGCCACTAGCTGAGTGGTACTCAGTACCTACTCAGTGTAGAGTC